TCTGACGTGACGCCTCCTGAAGAAATAGCGCTGCCGAGCCCCTAAAGGCCAACTGGGGCTTCGTTCCCGCCCGCCATGGCAACGCAGTACTGCTGAATGACGACACCAAGTAACATAAATGGTTATAGCAGAAAGACTCTCACTTATTGCGTTATGAGTCATGCTCTTCCCCTTTTGTCTTCGAGCTCAATCTCGAGGCCAGCCAACAGCCACACAGTGGCACCACTATGGACAGGATAATGAAGGAGATTGGGCCAGTCATGTCGGTTTATTAGCCGTCAGCTGCTCCGATTAAATCTCCTTAAAAGCAAGTAATATGGCCTCCTACACTGTCCGCTCGGCAAATACGACGGATAAGCTGTGGCAGCATGATGTATTCTGCAGTTTTGGTCCTTTTAGACTGCCGAAATGGAATGGATTTACAAACTCGTCGGTGACCTACCGCCATACAGCCCGCCACAGCTAGCACAACCTCGGACAGACACAGGTCTAAGGAACCAATCGAAGCCAGCTCATCCACCTGCTGCAAAGCGCCTGGACTTATGAATTATCCGAATTACTCGGACCATGGCACCTTTAGCAAACACTATTTCTCTGGTTTTCGTCCTTTAGATAACTTTAGATTTTTAAAATAAAGCTGAAATAATGAAATACTGAGATTCACATTATCTAATTTTTTTGTGATCGATTTCACGCACCCCCTCTCTCTTAAAGTAACCACCAGATTTTTTCTAAACATTGCTGCTGGTTGTCTTTATTTTTGACAACTTTCACTAGCCGAGTTACATTAGTCAACTCTGTACATACTTCGATGGCTTGACTTCGCTAGAAGGGAGTTTTGGCAAAGTTTAATAATTATTTTCATCAGTTGTGAAACATTCAGTGACTTGAATGGGATTCCAACCCACGCTAGCAAGCGGAAGGCTTTACTACAAGCAATGTTCTAGCCAATTAAGCTACGAGGCCCTCACTGGGAACCGTTAGTTTAACTACACTGGGGTCGATGGAAGTCTTGGCAGCTATCGATTTTTGGATTGCTATGGCTTTATCGCGGGTGAGTAAAGGTCACAATTGTCTATCGTCTACAATAATCTAACTAAGCCAATGACACCTCAATTATTGAATAGTTTGCATAAGGTTACACGTGTAATATCATCCACAAACCTGTCAAAATGAAGTTACCTGCCACAACAGACGTGGATAGGGTGAGCTTCCGGAAGGTGCCGTTTGATATTTGGATATTTAAAGAGAAAAACTCATCACCAACTGAGTCTTCCCCCAGAGGACAGAGGAAGGCCCACCGCTACTTTTGCTTGATCATTAGGCGCTTCAGTTTACCTACCAAAAAGCACGCTTATCATACGAGAAACTGATTTATGGCGTTGAGAAATACAAATATCGAAAGTACTTTCTCTACTGCGGGCTATGTTCCTTATCTCAACCGACAGGATTCCGATCTGCCGCAGCTGCTCTAACTCGTGAAATTTTAACAGAAATTCTACAATCCGTCTTCGATTAGAGAATATTACCTAGATAGCGAAATAATATTGCTTACTGTCTAGCATAATTCCAAGGCAGTTCAGTCACGCTCGACTTCTGAACTAGAGGTGTGGATCCTATGCACAAGTCCAATGATATCCGTACTTTAAGGGAGCTTTTTACTTGACGTAGATGGATACGTTATGCTTAGGTTTAGTTAGTAAAGTTTAGCTTGGGGTTTCCGGTTAGGATTTAGTTATATGGCTATTATAATGGTCAGGAATCTGTTTAGGACTTACAGATGTGGCTTAAGACCTAGGGTTATGAAATAATTTTTGGTTAGGGCTGGGTCTTCAAGTTTGGGTTATTATTGATTTGCTATGGCTTCAGGTTATTGCTAAGGTTAGGGATTAAGTTTTGAGCAATTTACTCCTACATTCAATCATCTGTTGCCCATCGGCTCCTGCCTTCGGCTTCCATGTTTCCATCCCGTCTACAGTCTGCTTACACATTGTTTTCATGTTTTGCGCGTTCATTTAATCAGGCCTTCTTGGTGTATTTAAACATGGGTTAGGGCTACATTTCGTTTCCAGAGTCTAACGTCGTCATTCGCCCCATAAACAAGACTCTTTTTCGCTAGTCCCATATTACAGTAGTCGCCGGTTATTAAGCCCACGGTTAATAGGCCCAGCCGC